AAACTAAACAAACAAACAAAAATTATTTTGAGATAAGGTTTCACTATGTAACTCTGGCTGACCTGGAATAATCTATGTAAACCAGGCTGGCCTAGAACTCAGAGAGTCACCTGCCTCTGCCCCCCAAGTGCTGGAAGTGTGTAACACCACAACATCATGACCCTACCACACACCGAGATGTATACACACATATATAATCGCATATGCATATATACACACATATACATGAATATATATGAATGAGATCATCTAATCTAACAGCTTCATGGGGGGGGTAAGCAAATGTGGGGCGGAACTGACAAGCCAGAGGCAGTTAAATTAGCAGCCACTAAACCCTGGCACTGAACAGGAGCCTGCTGATTCCTGCGTCCTAGCCTGGCTTCCTTTGGTGTAGCCCCATCTCGCACTGGTCAAGAAAATCCTTCTTTCACTGAGGAAGAAATTCTCAGGCAAGGACAGTATTTTCTGAACTACTTTCCTTGCAGAGAGCTCTTACAATAGAAGCTGAGTCACCAAATAGCGCTGGACTCTTGGGGACAACAGGCTCAGGAGTGGCTCTGGCTGGCTGTGACCTTGGCTTGAGGAACTATAAGCAAGAGTCACTTTTAGAGCCTGAATCTCAGCACTCTGGAAGCAGAGGCAGGGGATCTCTGGACAGCCAGAGTAGCAGAGACACACTGTCTCAAACAAACAAACGAACAAAACAAAAGTGGGAAGAGAAAAAGAAAGAAAAGAGAGAGGAAGAAGAAAAGAAAGAAAAACAAAGTAAAAACCTCAGAAAAAGGAGATTGGTGAAAATATGAAAAGAGGGGAGGAGTCTGATTGGGGCCTCATAGGAAGCAAGGACACATACGTGATCCAAACTGGTTGTTTGGTCGTTTTTCTTTCTTATTTATTTTGGGGGTTTGTTTTGTTTTGAATGTCCTGGAACTCGCTCTGTAGACCAGGCTGGCCTCGAACTCACAGAGATCCCTGCCTCTGTCTCCTGAGAGAAGGGATTAAAGGATTGTGACACTACACCCAACTATAGTTGGTTTTTTGTTTGTTTGTTTGTTTTTTACTTTTTTTCCTATTTTATTCTATGTGAATAAATATTTTGTCTTCATGTATGTATGTGTACCATATGTATGTCCAGTTCCTTGGGAGACCAGAAGGCGCATCAGATCTCTGGGACACCAGTTAGTAGCATGGTTGCTGGGACCCAAGCCAGGCTCTTTGGTGAGAGCCAGTTCTCTTAACCATGGGATCATCTCTTCAATCCCTTAAACTGCATTTTTAAAAGTGTACATTTGTTTATTATTTTAATTTTATTTTATGTGTATATGTATGTGTGCATGTGCTTATGTGCACCACACACATCTGGGAACCCTTGGAGGTCACAAGAGGTGTTGGGGGATGGGAGAGATGGTTCAGCAGTTAAGAACTGGTTCTCCCCAGGGCCTGAGGTTCATTTCCCAGAACCCACATAGCAACTCCAGTTCTGAAGGATCTGAAGCCCGGTTGTGGCCTCCACAGGCACTACATACATATGGTGCACACACATACATGCAGGCAAAACACCATACACATAAAAACAAACTTTTTTTTTTTTTTTTGGCTTTTCAAGACAGGGTTTCTCTGTAGCTTTGGAATCTGTTCTGGCACCAGCTTTTGTAAACCAGGCTGGCCTCAAACTCACAGAGATCCGCCTGCCTCTGCCTCCCGAGTGGGCGTGCGCCACCACCACCTGGCTTTTCTTTTCTTTCCTTTTTTTTCTTTTTGGATTTTCAAGACAGAGTTTCTCTGTGGTTTTGGAGCCTGTCTGGAACTAGCTCTGTAGACCAGGCTGGTTTCGAACTCACAGAGATCCACCTGCCTCTGCCTCCCGAGTGCTGGGATTAAAGGTGTGCGCCACTACTGCCCGGCTCTTTTTTTTTTTTAGCATGAAGAAGAGCCATTTAATCCTCCAGGACTGGAGTTAGACAGTCTTGGAAACCAAACCCAGGTCTTCTGCAAGAGCCTTCCCCGCAGGCCCTGAAGATCACATCTGTTTCTCTGTATGTGCGTGCACAGCATATACCACAGCACATGGAGGTCACAGAACTCCCTGAGGAAGTCTGTTCTCTCCTCTAAACATGTGGGTCCCAGAGAATGAACTCATGTCATCAGGTTTGGTAACAAGAGCTCTTATGTGCTGAGCCATCTCACTGTCCCACCAAATTGCATTTTAGAACATTCTGGTGCTAAGGCAGGCCATGGCTCAGGAGCCTGGACAGAAAGGGACTAGCCACAAGGCAAAGACTGAAGGAGAACAATGCCAAGATAACTTTTCTATTTTCTTTTTTTCTTTCCTTCCTTTCTTTTTTTAGACGAGAGTCTTATTGTGCTGTTCATGGTATTCTTGAATGCCTGGGTTCAAATGACCTTTTCCTCCTCTCTATCTGCCAAGCAACAGGGACACCAGCAATGCCATGTGCTCAGCTTTGATACCAACATTTCTGTTTTATCTATTGAGACTAGAGTCAATCTGTGTATCCCTGGCCTGGAACCTGATATGTAGACCAGGCTGGCCTCACACTCGCTATGTTCCTGTTGCCTCTGCCTTCAGATCACAGGCCTGTGCCATCGTGCCTGGCTCTGACTGAGGAGTGGGAGACTTGAGAGCGGTTCAGGTGGTAAAATAATTCCTAGCATGCACAATCGCCTGTTGCAGAATATTCTTTTACACTGTGTGAAGATGTGTCATTGTGATTGGTTGAATAAAGGACAGAATGGTCAACAGCTCGGCAGGAAGACAGGAAGGACTCTGGGAAGAAGAAAGGTGGAGTCACCAGCCTGGTGCAGAGGAAGCAGGGCATGCAGGAGGAGAGGTGAAAGGCAGGAGCCACATGGCAGCACACAGATGAATAGAAATGGGTTAATTTAAGTTATAAGAGCCAGTGGGACAAGCCTAAGCTACAGGCTAAGCTTTCGTAGTACAGACATACACACAGACAGAATATTGTATACATAATAAATAAATAAAATATTATAAAAAAAAGTCTCCATATCATTTTTTTTGTGAGCTGTTGGTCCCCCAAAAAATCCATCTACGAGCCCTGCGGTGGTGGCGCATGCCTTTAATCCCAGCACTCGGGAGGCAGAGGCAGGTGGATCTCTGTGAGTTCGAGGCCAGCCTGATCTACAAGAGCTAGTTCCAGGACAGGCTCCAAAAGCTACAGAGAAACCCTGTCTCGAAAAAACAAAACAAAAGAAGCAAACTAAAAAAATCCATCTACAATCCCTAGTACCACATGAAGGAAAATTGTAACCCAGAATGAATGGCGTGCAGGCATACATGTACGCAGAACACTGTATACATAATAAATTTTAATATTTATTTATTTATTTATTTATTTATTTATTTATTATGTATATAATATTCTGTCTGTGTGTGTGTCTACAGACCAGAAGAGGGCACCAGACCTAATTACAGATGGTTGTGAGTCACCATGTGGTTGCTGGGTATTGAACTCAGGACCTTTGGAAGAGCAGGCAATGATCTTAACCACTGAGCCATCTCTCCAGCCCACATAATATATTTTAAAACCTTAAATTATTTTCTGGCTGAGGTCTTCTACCTAAACTCAGTTATGTGTATTTAGGTTTCTTTCTCCCTCTTCCTGTGCCCTCAGCAACGGGTTGATCTTTTTGAGCTCAGCCTGGCATGCAGGATTCTCTCTAACACTAGACCCAGTGCCTTTGCCAAGATGACGACTTTCACTAAGAAAGCCAATTGTGTCAGAGACCAGCTTGTGTGTCACCTCTTCGGGGCCTTTCCTTTTCCCCCACTCTGTGGTTTCAGGCTGGCCTCGGTTTGCAGCAATCCTCTTGGGTCAGTGTCCTAAGTGCTGGGTTACAGATCTGAGTCACCAACGCTAGCAAACAAACACATGCTCTCTG